TCTCTTGACTGCCCCCTCCAAAACCTCCCTGCCCCTTCTCCGACCCCCTGCCCCCCTTGTTGTTGGCCTTCGCCTAATGTTTCCGTGAGCTTGCTCAGGAACGGCTCCGTTTGTCCCGGCAGGCTTGTCCCGGCAGGCTGGCTGGCGGGGGAGGAGCTCCAGACTGCAGGAGGCAATCTGGAATGCAGGGAGGGAGGGAGTTGATCTCTGTTGCAGGGGAGCGGAGGAGGGGCTGTCTCTGGCTGTCGGAGCCCCATGTAAGTTTCAGCATCCGGCCAGCTGCCCTGTTAGCGTCCGGGGGGAAGTCCGGACATTTACAAATTCCCCCCGGACGCTATTTTTAGCTCAAAAATCCGGACATGTCCGGGGGAATCCGGACGAATGGTAAGAATCCGGACGAAGAAGTGGGTTGTAGCCCACGAAAGCTTATGCTCTAATAAATTTGTTAGTCTCTAAGGTGCCACAAGTACTCCTGTTCTTTTTGTGAATAGAAGAATGTAGGTTTTGATTTTCAAAGCCAACTGGGGATTTAGCCATGGGATTCTCATTCATTTTAATGTCTAGTCAGCTTTGGAAAGATCAACTACCGGGCCTCGTATGCTGAAGTGATAAGCACCGGCAGCTCCAGCTAAGGTTGATGAAAGCGGAGAGTGCTCAGCACCATTTGAAAATTAGGTCCTTGGTTTACATACAGAAGGGGAGAGCATTATCTTATTCAGTATCTCTAAGGGATAATGCTACAGACATCAGTGCTCCACCCCCCACATAGCCTCATCTCACCCCAGGCTTACCCCCTCTCTATCGACAGAGCCTAATCCCCACAGAGCAGCGTCTGGAGGTTCAGGTAGGAATAATGCTGTGGAGGTGGCAATTGTTTTCCTAGATAGGAGTGCGTGTGGCAGCAGAAGTAGTAGATCTGACCCCAAAGCTTTAAGAACTGCTCTTTCATTAAATGCTGTATACTATTGGATACACAGACCTGCCTTTTGGAGTTCTTCGCTGTTCACAACTAACGTGTATTCGTAGATGCCTCCAAGAGTAGCTTCAGTGATGTAGTGCGTCCCATAATCTCTGTAGAGTTCTCTGTATTCACCATAGCTATACTCTAAAGGCAGCTGATGGAGTCTCTGCAGGAACTCATAATGGAGCATCAGAGTCCGAGGCTTCAGTTTATAACGGGCCACATCCAGCTCAGAACGGGCATGAATAAATTTGCTGGACTATATGAAATGTAGACACACAACAGCATCCAAGTGAAATGAGGGACATGGTTCTCCATGCAAAGTATGTTACCTCAGTGAATGTTATATATACAGTCTATGCATTGTATAAATATGGATGTTACTGGTCTGCATTAAACAGCTCACACAAATCCGTATACTCTACAAAGATCTTAATTTGTAAAATGTGCCACTACCGAAACTTAAAAGTGAAGGGAAAAATTTTACACAATAGAAAAAAAAGACATTCCCTCAAACTATTGTCCAACCCAAAGAATATCCTCTCTCTCCACACCCCTTTTGGGGCAAAAGCCTGGATAATAAAATGGGCTTTCCACTGTGCCCTAAATGCATTCAGACTCAGGTTCGTTTGGACATCAAGGGAAACATTTTAAAGAGCTGAGGATCTTTCAATTTAAAACGTCCTGCAACCTGGATAATCAAATCTAGGCCCCTTATCAGGCCCAAAGCAGGACTCATTGGGTGGAATTCAGTGGTCTGTGTTATGGAAGAAGTCAGACTAGATGATCATAGTGGTCCTTTCTGTCCTCAAAAATCAATGACTGTGTGAGTTACCCTAGATCCTCCTCATCTCTAATGGTGGGAGATCACTGTGCAACTCCCCCCTCCCTGGACACGGACTCAATGATGAGGCTGCACCCAACCCTGACACAGCACAAGGACCGGGCCTGCCCCAGAAACACCCCAGAGCCCTGCCACTCCATGCCAGGTGCACCAGGTGTGGGCAGACAGGCTCAGCAAGGCAGGATCCAAGTGTGAAGAGGCTTAGCATGGGGGGAATCTAGCTGTGGGTTGAGAGGGTTCTGTGTGGGGAAATCTGGGTGTCGGTGGCTCAGTGCAGGATCCAGGTGCGGGGGGGGGGGGAGGAGATATCTGGATGCACAGGGGCTTGTTGGGGTTTTTTGGGTGCAACAGTAATGGGACTCTGCAGGGGGATCCAGGTGAAGGTGTTTGGGGCTCAGCAGGGGAGACTGGGTATGGGGGACTAAGTGCGGGGGTCCAGATGCTGGCGGAGTGGGGCTTAGTGGGGTTGCAATACATGTGCAGCTGGTTGGGGCTCGGTAGGGTGGGGATCCAGGTGGTTCATCGGGGTGGTCCAGGTGCAGGGGGAGTGGGGCTCGTCTGGGGGATTCTGGGTGCGGGGGGGAGTGAGACTCGGCAGGAGAGTCTGGGCAGTGAGGGGGGCTGGATAGATGGGGAGTGGCTCCCTGTACAGGGATCCTCCCCCTGCAGCTGAGGAGCGATGGGGTGCAGAATGCGCAGGGGGAGGGTTGCAGAGCTTCCTACAGCCGGGGGAGAAATTTGGGGGTGGGTCTAACTAGCAGGTAGGAGCCACGAGCCGTGTCTTTCCCAGTCCCGCCCCTGACCCACAGTGATTTACCTCTCTGACGGCTGCCCTGGGCATACTATTTGGGAGGATTACGTGACCGTTTTTGTGGCTTCCCTTTGCTTCCCCATCAGAAAGTCATTTTTCTGCGGGGAAACAAAGAAATCTGCGGGGGACATAAATTCTCCACATGTACAGTGGCGCAGAATTCCCACAGGAGTATAATATGTGCTATATCCCCTATGCTCATATAGGGGATGATGTGCATCAGTAGACCCCCTGCCAATCCTTCCTACATGACAGTACTCTTGTACCAATAGGTGTGCACTTCCCTTTGTGTTCAGAGGACCAATTTGGGCCTCTTTCTTTCTTTCACTTTTTTACAGTGAGACTCTATTGGACAGACCCTCAGCTGATCTAAATTGGTGTAGTTCTACTGATTTCCTTGGAGCTATAGTTCAAAAGCTGAGGATCTAGTCCTATATTTTTTAATACATGTATACACACACATACATTTAAACTTCACATCTCAGGTGTTAACGACTAAACTGAGAACAGTTTTAAGCAGAAAGTAACTTACAGTTGCAGAAAATTTTTTCATCCTTTGAATGAACTTCTTGAACCTGTTGTCACTTAAACTGTAACCAAGTTCAAACACTCCTGGTATCTTTATTCCAAAGCCATAGCTAGTCTGCGAAGCTCTTGCCCTAAGGATATTTTCTTCAAAACTTGAATAAGATTCGTATTCAGTCAATGTAAATTCATATTTGCCTTTGGTCTAAACAAAAAGCAAAACCAACACACTTTATTTCTTGCATACTGATTTCATACCTGAAGCAGAGGGAAGACGTCTTGATAGTCTTGCAACAAACATACTTTTGAATTAGTGCTTTAACTTTGAAGATGAAAAGCCTGGTATAATTGCTAATCATTATTATTACTACAATACCACTTGATTTGCAGCACAGGTTAATAAAATGCAGATGAGAGCTACTGTCTCCTCCGTATTGCAATTGCCTACATCTTAAAAGTCCATGAACGTTTAAACACGTTTAAAATTGCGAAAGGAACAAAGCTTGCTTAATAGGATTCACGTATCAAATCACACTAGATAACACACAGCATTAACTTCAATGGGCTTTTAATCAGGCTCCGTATCTTTGATGCCCATTAAAGGTAAATGACAAGTATGAAAATTACTTGGGTGCCTGCCCTTTTATACAGTACGTTCTGGATATTTTAAAACAATAATATTTATTTGCACTTCTGTAGTCTCCTAGAAGCATATGACTCACTGCCGGCAAGCCCATGGTGGCTGGGTGTAGTGTAGCAGGCTCTCCTCCTTTAGTGCCCTGGCTGCCAGCTGTGCTGCCAGCTCTGTGGTGGCCTTGCAACTCGGCCAGGTCACACAGAGTCTCACCCCTTCTGGGGTAAACCAGCAGTCCGACAAATAATAGTCCATCAACATCCTGTTGAACTTTGGGTCTGAGTCTGGACTCACCAGGCCTTACCCCTGGTATCGGGGGGCTTCAACAGTCCTTACAGGGGGGTTTCCACTCCACCATCCCTGGTGGGCTGGTAGGGAAACCCAATGCCCTCCCGCTCCCCTGGATTCCAGTCCAGGGACCCTTGAGTAGGAAGTCAAGGCCTCGCTACACAGACCTCTGGCTGTCTCCCTGGACACCTCCTACCTTGCCCAGTCTGCAGCCTTTGCTGCAACCTCTTTCCTGGCTCCCCAGGTATCAGCACCTTTCTTTCTAGGCCTCTTCCACAGGCCCACTGCAGAGCTTCTTAGCATCTGGTTCTGCTGCAGGAGAGTTTTCTCAGCTGACTCAGCAGAAGTCCTCCTGCTCCCTGCAGCTCTGTCTAGCAGCATGCTGAATCCTGGCCGGGACTCACCAACTCAGCTCCCCGACTCCAGCCAGGCTTCTCTCACTGAGAGAGACCCAGAGGTCTGCACTCCTTCCTAGTTTACCCCTAACTGAGCCTGGTTCGGCCCTTTTAGCTCCTCCCTCCAGCTTTGACACTTACTACAGGTGTAGCAGGGCAAGGCTGATTGAGCCCTCCGATTCTCCTTAACCCCTTCAGGCCCAGTGTGGAGTTGGTACATCCCATCACACCTCCTTTCTATCAGAGGATCTCAAGGTGCTTTCCTCACACTGCCCCTTGGTTGTAAGTATTTTTTACACCACTTTTATGGAGCAGGTTCTTGAGGCAAAGAGAAAGTAAGGCCCTGATCCCGCACCATTAAAGTCATTAGGAGTTTTGCCATTGACTTCAATGTGCATAAGATCAAACCCTACTTGAATTTGCCAAAATTCACATTGGAAATCTTTGGCAGAGCCAGAATTAGGTCCCAGATCTCCTAATTTCCAGTCCTCTGCCTGGACTATGAGACCATCCTTCCCCTGAACATGCAACCCAGTCAAAACTCTGTGCTGTGTGCAAGAATGAACAATGGTAAAAGTGCCCCAAATTACATGTTGCCATGAACACAAATATTTCACTTTCATTATGGACACTGGAATCATTCCTTTTTCCTTCCCCTACAGTTTTATATTTAATACTTGATTTCCTCATATTATGAGCATTACTGTTTCAGGCACCCATTGTGCACTGCATCATTATAGAGAATCTCTGAAATCTAGTTCACTTTCTTGCAAGCAAATCAAGGAAACAACAGAATCTAGCTGAGAATTTTGGATGGCTTCATTACAGAAACTTTACTTTTTCATATTTGTGTCATTTTGAGAACAACATCTACATGATTATTAGAGTATAACAATCACTTATTATGTTCCCTAATATTTTCAAAGTAGGTCAAAATTTAGTCCTAAACCACTTGACCCCAATTCTTGAAATTCATTAAAATGTCATGTAGTAAATGAAGCTGTGTCGACACGCTGCATTGAAAACTATTGGAAATTTAATTAAAGTTGGTTTGCAGAAAAAAAAATCTGATTCTTACCTCTGGGGAGTAGCTTTCTACATTGTATGGTTTTCTAAACCTGGTATCCATAATATAATGTGGAGTACATCCCCCAGCATAGTACCTGTGATCAAGAACCAAACCTTCCAGATTGTTTGTGAGGATATTTAACCTGTGTAGGAGGCATAACAGTGAAACAATAAAGTTTATAATTTAATTAGCAGCAAAATATACAATTTGGCTAAGAAAGGCAAGATTTTTTTCCCTATTTCCTTTTGTGCCTGCCTATTTCGTTGCCTAGGGATTCTGTCATCAGAACTTTCCATCTTCTATCATCCACTCTATTGGCCTAGGAGAACCTTCCCATCCAACAAGCAAATGAAAGAGGGAGTCATGTTTTGAAACATTGCTGAAGATAATATTAAGCGCAGAAGAATTACATTCTGTCAACTGGGACTGACATTATAGCATCATCCCATCAGTGATAGCAACATTTTACCCAGCCAATAAAAGTTCATGGAATTGAAATTGTGCTGGAAAGTAAGGATTTGGACTAGCTCTTTCAGGAATGGCAGAAGGGGCAGAGGTGGGCAAAATATACACTCGGGCGGCACTGGATCAGATCCTAAATCCATCTGTAAAGAGTAAAAGTACAGCCTGGCAATGTTTTTATGTAGGGAGAATGACTTTTTTTTGGTGATGGGACCAAGAGTTCTCCGTTATTCACCACCATCACCGAAGGGTGAATCCCAGTGGAATCTCATCTACATGGTGCACGGTCCCAGGATATGGCGCTAATCTGAATGAGATCATGTTTAAATAGCAGTGAGCATCACTAGAGGAAAAATCACAAAAGAAAAAATACCGATGCAATCAGGAAATCCCCAGAACCTATAATTGTTATGTTGTGCTCCAGGTCTTTGTTAGGCTTCCCTTTCCTTAGTGTGGAGTCAAAAAGTTGCATAAAAAGGTCTCTGAAATTGTTAAAATTATCTTCAATCTTAGAACACAGTGAAAAGCGGGAAGATCCACTAAAATCATATGACTGAGCATTTGTGGCTTCAAAGAAATGAGAGGCATGTTTCTGTAAGAGTTCAAATTATTTTTTAATTTATACTATGGCTAACAGTATGAAGCATCAGTAATGACACACACAGCAGTCACATCTTCAGAGAGTTGACAGAAATGATCATTTTCCCTTTTATGTGATTTTTACTCTATGAAGCAAGATTTTTGAGGGGGTGCACGTGAAGGAAGATTAGGGGACTATTTTCCCACTGTAGGATCTTATAGGCAGTTATCATCCTATATGAGTTGGATCATATTCAACCACCCCAAAATTCAGGATTATTTAGTTCTTGGGTGAAATCTTGCCCCCACTGAAGATGATGACAAAACTTCCATTGGCTTAAATGGGGCCTAGGTTTTGGTTCAGTTCATTCCAAATGTAGAGGCCCACTGCACATATAGATCTGAATCCAAATTCAGGTTTTAAGCAATCCAATGCTCCGGGATGTTAGAGCCCTTCAGTGCCCACTGACAAAGGGTTCATTATCACATAACAGCAACTCCTATCAGGCCTGACAAACTCACTACACCTAACAAATTACTGTCATAGTATTTATCTATAAAGAATGTTGTGTAGCGTGTCAAATGAAAGCTTATATCATACTGGTCATCATAAGCATTGCGAGACATATGTATGGGCATTAGTCAAGAAGGTGTATGTATGTACTAAAAATATGTTTGAACGATGTAAACAGGCAGGGTAGATAAACACGTTTTTCCCAGACAAAGGAATGTTTATTTACCTGCCTGCCTCCAATGTCTAGCAAGCATTGTGTAAGTCAACACAAAGCAAGCTTCATTTGAAAGACAACAGGAAAAGCAAGTTGCCAGGAGAATGAGAAAGACAATATGGCATGAGCACGCTGAGAGCAAACAGCAGGGGAAAACAACTTTGTCTGAGGGTACACATCACAGGGATACATTCCAAAGGTTTTCTGGAGCATAATGAAGAGGAAAGGAACCTAGGGATACTCCTGGCATAGAGGAGTGAAAAATGAAAAACCTGGATCCTGATTTGACTGCTATGTTTGGTTTATTCAAAGGATGCCTACTTACCCTCTTGCCAGATTCTCTATTCCCCAGTATTGCTCCATCTTCTGGTTGCATTTTCTATACACCTTTTTACAGTTTTTTTCATCTGACTGATCCCCACAGTCATCATCTCCATTGCAAAGCAACCTCCGTGTAATGCATCTTCCTAAGAGGCAACATTGAAATTACTTAATTAAGAAGTCCTTTATCATTTTTATTATTAAAAACTATAAAGACACAGTCATCACCCCATAAATCTTATAAACTAAGAGATTACAACATGTTGATTAGAGCTGGTTGGAAAATATTTCCTCATCCCCCTAGAAATTTCTACTTTTCATTTTAAAAAAGTCTGAAAACTGCCAAAAAGTGTAAAATGGATACAAGCTGAAAAAAAGTTAAATTTGTTTGTTTTTCCATGGAAAAATCAAACACTTTTGATTAGGGCAGAAATTTTCTGTAAAAATTTTTGTTTAGTCAAAAATCCAATTTTCTTTTGAAAAAAAAAAAAGTCCTTGGAAATTTTCCCACCGGCCTTATTAATAAATAATTATAATTATTTTCTTATGTAGATGATCGATTACAAGAACAAATAACTTGAAATTCCAATGAACAAATTTGGGACATTTTAAATGACAGGATTAATTAATATGAGAGAGGAGCATACTGGTAACACATTCTTAATAAGGGAAATAATAGACATGAAGGCTGCGTGTCTCTCATGTCTTTTATTATTAGAATTGCTCTACAGAGACCTCAAAAGAATCAAGGCAGAAGGAACAATTTTGTTTTCTCATGCTGTGTTGTCCATCCATAATAAGATCCCTACAACTGAGATGTTAATGAATTATATAAAAATAATACCTCACTCTTATATGGTGCTTTTCATCAGTAGACCTTTAAATACTTCACAATCTTTGATGTATTTATTCTCACAACACTCTTGTGAGCTAGGGAAGTGCTATTATTCTCATTTTACCAAAGGGGAACTGAGGCACAGAGAGGCTAAATGTTTGGTTTGACCAAATAAAAAAAAATTCAGTTTTTCATTTTGCCAAGAAAAAACGAATAATTGTTATTTCCAATCAGTCGAACAGAAAACTCAATTATACACCCAGCTCTTGTTATATTATTTCCCCTAATCTCTTTAGAGGGTACCACCAGTTCCTCCAATGTGATTGTGAAAAGAGAACTAATGAATGCTACAGAACAGTAATTTATATGGAGTAGGCAGAACTGTTACCACTACAACAACAAATCCATATAAAGCTTTTCCCTTATGATCTCAGGCACGTGCCAAAATCATGGGCACATATTTTGCTGCCGTTATCTGACTTTTTGAATCAGTTTTGTGTCAGCTTTTATTACCAAGACTATTTTTTAATGTCCTACTTTCCAAAACAACTGGATTTTAAAGAGATGCTCAAGACTGGTGGACTGGAACTTGGCCTACATTCCAGTTAAAATCAGTCATTTGCAAATGTGATGTAAGTGCTGATATACTTTGGGCCTCATCCTGGCATATTTTTACTCAGGCACATCCCATAAAAAAGTTCTGTCATCAATTTCAACAGGAGCAGAAGTGTCCCCTAGAATCATAGAATATTAGGGTTGGAAGAGACCTCAGGAGGTCATCTAGTCCAATCCCCTGCTCAAAGCAGGACCAACACCAACTAAATCATCCCAGCCAAGGCTTTGTCAAGCCCGGCCTTAAAAACCTCTAAGGAAGGAGATTCCACCACTTCCCTAGGTAACCCCATCCAGTGCTTCACCACTCTCCTAGTGAAATAGTTTTTCCTAATATCCAACCTAAACCTCCCCCACTGCAACTTGAGACCATTGCTCCTTGTTCTGTCATCTGCCACCACTGAGAACAGCCTAGCTCCAACCTCTAATTCAACTACTTACCTGTAATCGCACATACAAAGCCTTCACATCTAACTTTATTTCTGCAAGGACTGTTTGTAACACAATCTTCTGTTTCTTTGTCAGAGTAGTCACACGGGTCTCCATTGAACTGAGAAGGCCGTTCCACTCGGGCAAATCTGTACTGTAATGACATAGAAAACATTTACTCACCTGTGTAGAATGCATGAATTTTATGGTTCCTAAATTAAAATACAAACTTCTTGTATTGAGACATATTTGCTATAGGAGTAACGCCAAGAAAAATAGTAAATATGGCAGAATTTTGATTTTCTTGTAATGGAATTAATTTAAAAAATAATTTGGGGTAGTTTTCATTTTATTAAACAAGATTTTCCGCACTTAGTAGTGATGGAGTAAAAAATGTGGTTTTTAGTTTGTCATTAAGATAAATTTTGTTTAAATGGCACTAATCGCTCGGAGTGGGAAAGAATAAGGAAGGGTTCAATGGCATTTCCCTTCTTTCAATTAGAGCTGGTAATGACACCTCTTGTTATTCTCTGTACCTAGGGTGACCAGATGTCCCGATTTTATAGGGACAGTCCCGATATTTGAGGCTTTGTCTTCTATGGGTGCCTATAACTCCCCACCCCGTCCCGATTTTTCACACTTGCTCTCTGGTCACCCTATCTGTACCTGTGTACTTACTAAACCTTCCACACCATTATTGATATTTTCCTGACAACACCCCTGTGAGGTAATTCTCTGATCCATCCAATAGATTATTATCCTTCTGCCCCTTTTCCATTTCCTAGACAAACTCATAACTGAGAGTCTTACACAGCTGGAGCATCACTACTCCGACTGCAAAGGGCTGACGTGGGATAACCATTCTAAGAATGGTTATCTTCACCTGTTAACGAGTGGTCCTGTGCACCGTTTAAAACAATGGGATTTTTGACATTGACTTCATAAGGACAGGATCTTAATTTGAAGATGTTCCATATCTAGAAAATGCTCAATGGCAGGTAATGAAAAGGGTCTCCCAGCCCTGTGAGGTGTTGTGTGCCCTCAATTCCCATTCAAATCCAGAGTTGCTGAGTGCGCTTAGCAACTTGCAGGAGTCCTGCGGACACTGGCCCTATGTATGAATGCTCCTGCCAAAGGCCTATGATCATTTGCTACATTTTATACAAGAGAGGGAAAATTAACGGCCTGTTCCTACGCTCCCTTACCGCAGCAAATTTCCATGGAAGTCAATGGGAGCTATGTTTAGATCAAGAATTGCGAGATTGAGCTGACAAAGGTGAACCAGAATTCCAAAGCAAAGGGTTGCAAGCCCCCCATGTCCCAATAAAAAGAAGAGTTACTTGCCGGGAACTCTGACATGAAATTCATCCCTGTGCAAGGAAGCCTAGCACAAGGCTTAGACATGCACTTTAGCCCCAGGAGATCTTTTGTGACGTTTCAGTGGTATGTAGATCTTGTGCTGGACCCTGGATGCCTTGAATGGGGTGAATTTCATATCAAGCTGCATTGCCCGTGCAGATTATCCCTGCAGGAGATGTGAGGAGCCACAGGCCAGAAAAAGTGACTCCATCACCGAGTCTTTGCAGAGGCAATATTATGAAAGACCGTCTTGCCTTTTATTCTCTCGTATTTCTTATGCTTCATATTAAGATAATAGATACTCACTCTTTTCTTTTGACAGGGATCACAGGTGCTCCATGGTGACCAGCTGGAAAGCACACAATCAATCGGCTGCGGAGGGGTGCTTACTGATCGGGCCCATCTGCCTTTGCCTAGGCTCATGTTGACTCCATTTAGCTGAAGAAGAGGTTCCCTTTCACCACTAAATGTTCACAATGAATAAGAACTTGAGTGTGTAGGATTGCAAAGCTAGGAGAACGAAACAGAGGCTCTGTGTGTGTGCGCGTCTCTCTCTCTCCACACACTAAAACAATCCCTTTGTTGTGCTCTGCTAAAATCTTTCATGCAAAATAAAGAGTTGGCTACCGATCTCACACTGGGTGTGCAACTGTGCGGCTCCTGATTTACACTGTTATAACTGAGAACAGAATCAGGACTGTAATGTTTTAATTTGAGTGTCAAAGGCTACGGTATTATTTAAGTGTAAAACATCACATGCCCATCACCACAGTCTCAAACAAGGTAATTAATGATACAATCACAACTTGACAAAAATCCTGCAGCTGGATCGTAACTGTAAACACCATGGACTTTACTAAAGAATCAGCAAAAATTGATTTTGTAGCAGACTTGTTTATCTAAAGGCTGGACAAAATTCCACTGGAAACTGCATGGATCGCTTAAAGCAATGGGAGTGCCTGTTGCTGATGGTCCTTCGAGCAGCTTTTACTGCACCTTCCATTTGTGGGAAATGGTGGTATTATTTTTAGCAAAAATATGCGTGTCTCAGTTTCCCCACTCACTTTTATATTGTTAACCACTGGGTGTGAACGGGTTAGTTTCTTTCCTGGGACAGAAGAATCGGAAATGCAGTGACTGGGTGGGAGTCAAGTAGGCAGGTCAATGTGGGTAAGAATATGTCACCATATGAACAGAGTTACCTTGAAGATACAATAAAAGACCACCGACTAGGCATTAACTTTTAAAGGCTGCCAGCCCAGGGGGGCAGAACATGAAATGGTGTGACTTGGGCTTGAACCAAAGAACTGAGGTGTGAGCAGACTGCAGTGAGAATCCTGCTGTCCAGGGCTAGCTGGTGGGGCCAGAGGGGTGCGTGTGTCAGTCCTGGAAATTTGGGCACGAGAGAGAGTTTGGGCTGCCAGCCTGCACATGCACGTCTGCTTTGCTTTTCCCTTCTACCCTGAGGACATGAATTACTGAATTCCAGTTGTCTAATAAAAGGTGTCTTGTTAGGAACCATTTGTCCTGAGTCACAGCAAACATCTGCTGGTTGCGCAGCTCCCAAGACGGTAAGTCTCCAACAGGGGCCAAGCTCTTTAAGACCTGTTGAAGGAGTCATGGTGAGAAACAAAGCGCTGAAGTCTGCGACCCAGTCAAAAGTGGAGGTGCAGGGCCTAGCACGAAGAAGGGTATACTCCCAAAGAGTCTATGTTAAGGTCAGAGACTTGGCATGCCTTGTGGATCCATGACCCCTACTAATAGCAAACTAAAAATCCCAGTCTTTCTATCAGTAATTTGAAAGTCTCAAAGGCATCTGTACATTTATTCTCACCTGTGACTTTAATTACAAAACAGATGAAATGAATTCATTTTACCAGGGGTTAATCAAAGAGTCAGTCAACCAAGATGACGGTTTAGATAAATAATGGAGAATATTTATAGTTGCCGGTGGTGATTTGTTAAAAATTTCAATCACTTCTCTTGGAGAGGTGCTGAGACAAAGTCTGCTCATTGTGATACTGCTGTGAATCCCACGCAGTTCCATTGACTTCACTACACTGGCTTGACACTGGTGTCTCTGAGAGCAGAATTTTACCCATGCAGCATAAATCTTTTTTAACTATGAAGAGTGGTTTTAAACTAATACCTATAGCCAAGGGTACACTGCACTTTCTCAACTATGGATTAAAAGAATGTGCATATTTTTTTTTAAAGAACATTGCAAAGGACTTTTAATTCTAAAACTTAGAGCTCAATTTTGTCTTGAAGGCCTAAGCCCTGATTTGGGGTTGATTGACAACTGCCCCCCTCCACCTACACAATAGTTCCAGGAGCTCCCAGGGAGCACAGTAATTCTATCCTCTCTCCTAGGCTTTTCTATTTCCTGCAGAGCTTACCAATGCCGTTCCCTAAAGGCCAGAGGCGGTTGGGGGGGCCTGATGTTAGACGCCTCCTCCTCACAACCCACCATCAATAAGAAAATTGCCCCATCAGTGCCCCCAGCCTCCACCAGCACAAGGAATGCAAAAAAATGTAAGCTGTGAGCGTAGACCCTCCTGTATAGCAGATTGTTCTTAATATTGTGCATTCAATATTATATGTAAAAAAGGAAGTGGGGAAAATGATCAGCCAACTATGTAGTCCAGGTGTTGGGTTTTGTTTATATGAAATGAGGACCAAAGGGTATTAGACCAGTTGAGAAATTTAGGATCATAGTAGCTAGGTAAAGGAAAGACATCTTGTATGATCCAGTACTCCCTCCCCGGGCAACTACCAATTCTAGTCAGATAGTAGAAGAGCTTTCAAATATTAGCCTAAATTTATTTTCTTTTGACCCCTAAATCAAGCTGAACTCTAATAATCCTCAAAATGCCCTTGTGAGGTACACACAGTAAGTAACTGCACTGCAAACAGATTTTCACTTCATAAGATTTATCAGACTGGATTACTTTTTTCGAGCCAGTCACTTCATAATATGCTCATTTTAAAACAGTGCCTTTTCTTACTTCAGTAGAAACTCCAAAATAGCTTCAGACGACATTCCTTATTCACCATGAAAGGAAAAGCAGACGGTCAGTGTTACATTTCATTATCTATCATGTCATTGCATAGATATTTATTTAAGAACATTCACTTACCTAAAGCAATGCACAGTTAGGAAGCCCAGTACTGCACAAAACAGGAACAGTTTCACTGGGTACAAGAGAAGTATAGTATGTGACATACTCATGATTCTAAGGTACTATCAGCAAATATCACTGGCAGTCCTAAACCACCAGAACTCCAGTTCAGCCTTCTATGGGATCTGAAAGTGGTTCAAGCAGCAAAGGGTAAATTAGCCGATCTTTTGTTTACCGTAGCAGAAAAACTATGACCCACCTCCTGACAAATTCACATGACAACCTTTATAGTTGCTAGCACACAGCTTTCTACAGGAAGTTCTGAAAACTCTGTTGGAGGATGTCAGAGAAAATAAAAATCAGCTTAGGAGCAATTTACATTTCCCCTTCATGTGTTATAAGAACAGGAGTAATAGGGCATCTTAGAGACTAACAAATTTATTTGAGCATAAGCTTTGTTATGTTTCCTTAAGGCATTGCTGAAAAAATAAATATTTCACCAATAAAGTCACATATTTAAATCTTGGCTCAGAAAACAGTCAATGGGAAGTGACACGCGAGTTAAAAATCAGGGGACTAGGAGAAGGGATGATTGGAAAAATACTTAAAAAACCCCAACCTATCTGTTTGTTGTTGCAAAGGAATGAGAGAGACAAAGCATGGACAGGTTTCTGCTTAATTCTGCAGTGAAACTTTCCATTCCATAGACAACAGGCCAGTTCCTGAGAGGTGCGGACACCTCACTGGAAGTTAGAAGTGTTTGGCCCTGCTTCAGGTTTGCACCCAGGCCACTTGCTGAGTAAGGATTGCAGCATCCGACCCAATTATCATGCCTTTCTAAAGCAGAGCCTCTAATTCTATGGAGATCGGCTCAGATAACTATAGGGGTCCCTTCTAGCCTTAAAAGTTATAGAATAGAATATCAGGGTTGGAAGGGACCTCAGGAGGTCATCTAGTCCACCCCCCTGCTCAAAGCAGGACCAATCACCAGACAGATTTTTGCCCTAGATCCCTAAGTGGCCCCCTCAAGGATTGAACTCACAACCCTGGCCAATGCTCAAACCACTGAGCTAACCTCCCCCCACCCCCGAATCATCTGGTATTAAATGAATCATCTTGTATTAAATGTCAGGTTACATGGAACTTGCCTTTTTCCTCATGATTTCTAAGGTTTTACAATGGCTAGGCAAGAAGTGACCTGGGGATTGTATTTATTATGCATAATGGGTTTCCTTTTACTCTTACCGTGCTCTCCCACCTCTCTTGTGTAGACTGGGCTCTCTGGGGCAGGGATGGTCTTATTTATGTGTTTGCATAGCACCTCAATTGACAGCATTGCTGGTTCTGTTTGTTCATGTTTGGTGGCCATCTGGGTGGAATTTAAAGATGCCCTGGGATTCTCAGAAAATATGGGAATGGCCCCATGGTCCTGGTGAACATCCCCTCTCTTAATAAAATAGATCCCAGTGCTGAAGGGATGGATCCTTCTAGGCGCTGCTGAACTCCACCTAAGAAGTACTGAGCACCCTCAATTTGCGCCGATTTCAAAACAGAGTTCAGGGTGCTCAATAACTTGCAGATTTTGTTCCTAAGGCGGCACGTGAGCGACGTCTGTGTGCAAAACGGCTGTTGCAGTGGCCTACATAGACACTTTGGTACTTCATCTGGGAGTACAATGTAGTAAAATCTCATTCTGTGGGCAAGTTAGTGATAGAAAAGTAAGGGAGGCGTCATTTGAGTTGTAAAAATCTACAGAATCATAATTTCAAAGGTTTTACCCTCTGTGGCATGAAAGGAGGAAAATGCTGGCCACCAGCTTTAGGTCCTCTGGTTGGTGGAAATTTTGATAATATACTATCAGAATGGGTGAAGAGTTGGGTATCATTCGAAAGCCCTTTCTCCCACGGACACGATGGTACCAAATAAGAGACGCCTAGAACAATTATATAGATATATATTCGAAAAAATATTTACAAATCAACTTTTTTAATGATACTTTAATACAGGGATGCATGTCTGACATAAAAAAAGACACTGATCTTTGGTAATCCTAAAGAAGTTAGCCTTGACGTGTAGGATTGAAAACGTTTATTCATCAAGTCATCATCAGTGTCATCTCCTTCCAGGGTGCCACTGCTAGACACATTGTCTCACTCTTCTTCCTCCATGCCGCACTTGCACATCTCTGTACAAGGCAGGCTGCGAGCCAAATATTTGCAGGTTGCTGAGCATCTGGTCTTTCCACATGAGCATCTGATTACCTGAAGGACTGATTCAGGAGCGCATGGTATTTCACATGTAACTGGTGTGATCAGTCCACCCTCCAAGACCCATCCATACCTGACAGGGGAGGGTAGTTTTGAACGCACTCGACCATCCTGGAGCCATTCCATTGCTTCATAATTTACCTTCTTGCTAGAAGGTATAAATGCATTTCTTGTCGGTGGCAATTTTTCTCAGTTTGTCTGCTTCTTGGAAAATGTAGTTCTGCAAGTGTCGTAATGTTGGTCTTCAAATGGTAAACTCGGTGTATGAACACCTCCAGTGCAATTATGACCAAATCATTGTCTATCTCAACCATTCCAAGCACTTTCAGAGCAAGGAGAGAGTCTTCAGAGGTGGACTCAAATGCCTTCCAGTAAAATAATTTGATCTTTCCAGTCTACCTTCTAGTAGTGTCACATCCTGAAAGGACATGGAAACTTCGCAATGCGGTGACTTTTAATGGTCTAAGTGATAAGAACACATCTCTGCGGGATATACAGCGATTCTGTTCCCCAGCAGCAGTCACAAAAATGGAATCTTGCGGAAGTCTGTGGTAACGTCTCACAGAGAGCGCTAGCACATCTGTGTCTTGTGCAAAAATCCAGAGTTCAGTAGAAACTCTCTCTCTGTGGCATTGATGGCATACAAGATAATTTTAGTGCAAGCCTCCGCATGGGAACTATGAAGAAACTCCACAGAACAGTGCAAGACAGCAGCTTCATTACACCAGGCGATGCCAAAATTCTTCAAGCAATTCTTCGCATGCAGTACAATTTTTTCAGGTTTGGTATCAGCTATGGATCCCTGAAATGTCCATCTACTGCAGGACAAAATGGTTCTCCATAAAAATTTAGCAGCTGCAAATAGAGTCTTCATATTGCTGTTGACATCAGCGCTTTCTTCTGCTTTTGATAGTGCCATGTCTTTTGCCGCTTTTAAGGATATGTGCTGTGATTCATTTCTGCAGATAGGATTGCTAAAAACTATCCATATCCCACAGTTCATTTTCAATATGTGTGACTGACTGGGCAGTGGGTGGTCAGGCCTAGAGGTTGAAACATGAGTTTGGCCTACTGCTTAGAGATGGGTCCAGGGGGACAGAGTCCATGAATGAGCCAAGGGTCAGCACTGGAGGCACAGGAACTGAATGCCAGAGTCAGAGGGTAACCAGAGTTGCGGGCCAGAGGTGGAGCCAAGGATCAGTACTGGAGGAACAGAAGCTGAATGCTGGAGCTAGAGAGTAACCAGAGTCATAGGCCAAACGATCAAATCCAGAACTCAGACGCCAGAGAGGAACAGGGGCTGGCACCAGAGCGGAAGGTAGGTGGAGTAGGAGCAGGTTTGGAAACAAGGATGGGAACCAGGCAGGAGCATGGACTGGAAGCAGATTGGAGCAAGGCAGATGCAGGGATTAGAAGCAGGAGCAGGCAAGAACAGATACGAGCATGGTACACATTGAGCTGCCACTGATCTGCTGTGGGTGCCGGACTCAGAAGCAGGGCTGCTAAACCAGCAACCAATCAGATGCTGTGGCTACTCTGTCAGTTCCAAGGCAGTGCCAGTAGGCTCCCTGGTTACCCAGCAGCTGGTCCGGCCCCTGACAACAAGTGCTTTAAAAGCCTTTCTGCTAAGCATGTGTTCCTTTTCAATCCCATTCAAAGCATGCATGTCTCTGTACTTAGCCTTTGCGTCAGCCATCACCACCACTTTTCCATCCATTAGAGCCTCTGCCAGGCAATTTATGAACTCCAGCTGAGTTGCACAGTTTTCAGTAGTAAAACCTGTATTTGTTTCTGTTACTTTTACCTTTTGCCGCAACATATGACATATATTTTTGATGTAGCACTCAATATAATACGCAATGTCATAAGCGTGGGTGACTTTTGGGTCAGTAAACCCATTTTCCAAGCAACGTTCTCACTAAGAATGACTGCTTCATACAGTTTCTCACCTTCTCACGTTGAAACTGTGCTTGATGCATGCCTTCAGGCTTCCAGCGTATCACAGAAGCAGATGTTCTTTTCAAAACACATGCCATGAGCCCTACCCTAAGGCGAGTCTCACACGTGTCTCAACATCTTCAACTTTTTTCTGATGCTTGATTTACGTTCTCTCCAACCTTGCCAAATTCAGCGAATGGATGCACTTCTTATAGCATGTAAGGTGCCACCAAGCATTGTGTTTAACCAGACCCTCTGTGATGGTATTCACCAAAGATTCAACTACTAGTCATTTACCCATTGATGTCTAAAAATGATCCAGACCAAAGTGAAAACAAGGATTTTGTAATAAATTACTTTGGGATTGCAATGAGTTATGTTATGTAATGTAATGTATGTTATGGACCTGTGTGCATACCACTTGCGGATGGATTCCAGTAAATTTCTGGCTGGATGTTCATGTCTTAACGGTGCCTCGTTACAGCTATTTTGGCATAGTAAACAAAGATGATAATCAATAAACCGCTTTTTTGCCGATGATGGCAAATCAACTGGGAGCACTCCTTCCATTTACAGAAATCTGTATCAGGTATTCTGTTCTGCGCATTAACTGATATAACACAGTACTGTCAGTTGAGAGCCTTTTGTGAGGGCTGCATGTTTGACATGTCTGTGTTAAAGTATAATTAAACACATTGATTTCTAAATATTTTCTCAAATATATAGCTACATAATTGTCCCAGGAGTCTCATGTTTGGTACCACTGTGTTTGTGAGAGAAAGGGCTTTTGAATGAGGCTCAACATGACCCATTTCTGAGGAGACTGTGTTGGCAACATTTCCACCAAGTGGAGGACCTGCAGTTGGGGGTGGGGTGAGGTAGCAAGTGCCCCCCACTATGCTGCAGAGGGTGACACCATTGACATTATGATTCTGTAGATTATTACAAATCACACGATACCTCTTACCTTTCTATCAATAACTTGCCCACGGAATTATACATGCTCTCAG